AGCTAGGAAAAGCATCTCCCCCTGGCAGCAATGCGCTGCTCTTTTCTTCGCTCTCTGAAGTGGTTTGGAGGGTGGGCGATGATTTGGGGGCTGTGGCTCCATTAACAAAACGAGGCGCTTTGCTGGATAGTTGCCTGCCTCAGCCTGGGGGGCTTCTGGTTATGTGGCGGTCTCTTCCTTTGGGCCGTTGGAGGAGATGCCAGGGCTTATGGTCAAGTTATGGTGGAAGCAAAGCCTTCAGCAGAGTGGCTTTCACCCCAGCTCAACTTAATGTTTTCTTCTCCAGAATCGGCTTCTAGCAGGCTCGGAGCAAGAGAGTACACAGGCAATGGCAAGATATTGGTGGAAACTCTTCTTCCGCCTTAAAGGGGGAGGTGCAAGAAGTATGTGTGGGCTCAGGGCATGAGCCATTCTGGAGGAGTGAGTGTCACTGACTTAGGAGCAGCAAGGTTAGTAACGAGGCTCAGTTCGACGTTGATAGCTGTTGGGCTGTATGTGTGTTCCCTCTGTGTTCTGCCCAAGCCCTGCACAGACAGCTGGCATGGCAGACCTTAAGTAAACCGGCCAATGACCACAAGATCCATGATGGGATGAAGGCACCTGGCCATGTTGAGTGTTGATGATCATGGCATCAATATTCTGAAGACTATCAGATCACTAATAGATGTATGTCCATAACACTGGACCAGCTCAAATTTGTCACCCCTAGACCAGACAAATACCGATACTTCCCCTGAGGGTATGTCTATACTGCAGTTTTTCCAGATAAACAGCCGTTTTTCCGGCGGTATGTCTATACTGCAGAGTTTTTCCAGATAAACGGCGGTTTTTCCGGGAAAACTACACTTATGTCCACACTGTAATTGCGTTCCTTCGACAGAAAGTCAAAAGAATGAGGGTTTTTTCTGACAGCGGTAAACCTTTTTCTGTGAGGAAGAAGCCTTTTTTCCAAAAGAGCTCTTTCGGAATAAGGCGTGTGTGGATGGGGAAGAGGGGTTCTTTCGAAAGAAGAAGCCTCATGGAAAAAAGCACAGGTGCCCTGGTGGCCACTCCGTCTACAGTAATCACAACTTAAATGTGAGATAGTGTCCATATTGATTGGATGCTCTCTTTTGAAAAAGCAGATCACTTTTTCGATACGCTTCTTCTCTTTCGGAAGAAGTTTTTCCGGAAAATCTCTTCCGGAAAAGATTCTTTTGAAAGAAGCCTGCAGTCTAGATGTAGCTTGAGACACATTTCTGTTCTCTGAGACAAACAAGTCAGTACTGTCCCTCTGACATAGCTACTGCTTTCTGAAATGATTAGTTATCACTCATCACCTTGGCTATGTCTAGACTGAAGGCTTCTCGTGCAAGAAGCTTTTATTGAAAGAGATCTTCCACAAAAATGTCTTGCACAAGAGTGTGTCCACACTGCAAAAGCGCATCGAAAAAGCGATGCGCTTTTGCGAAAGAGAGCATCCAGACTGCATGGACGCTCTCTCGAAAGTAAGCTCAGATTGCTATGGACAGAATGGCCACCGGGGCAGCTGTGCTTTTTCCTCTTTCCTCTTTTTGCGCAAAAAAACCCTCTTCCCCATCCACACACACCTTTTTGCAAAAAAGCTCTTTCGCAAAAAGGCATTCTTCGTTGTAGAATGAGGTATACCTATGCCGGGAAAACTCCTCCGTTCTTTCAATTTTTGTGTGCAAAAAAGTGGTTGAGGTGTGGATGCTCCATGAGTTTTTTTTCGGAAAAATGGACGTTTTTCTGAAAAAACTCTGGGCTACGTCTAGACTGGCATGATTTTCCGGAAATGCTTTTAACGGAAAAGTTTTCCGTTAAAAGCATTTTCAGAACAGAGTGTCTAGATTGGCACTTTTTGC